ACCTCACGCTGACGTGACAACTGCTTCAGGCGACCAATCCCTTTGCGCTGCTACAGCAGTTGGTAAGAGAGCCTCCACTCACGATACCGGGAGTAACGAATAAAGCAGACTAAGAATTCGAAAGCTATAAGAATTCTGTATAGCATTGTCGTGGATATCGTTAGTTTTCGCCGTTCAGTGAACACTGCATTTAAATATACGAGGATTGACAAAAGTACGCCGACCTATTCTCCTTTTTTTCTTATCTGAACGTCGAATGGTTATCGTTTTAAAGTTAGGCATACTGTTCGATCAAGTAGTAATCAGCATGGCCTCGGTGAGTGATACCAATCGTGGAACCCAATAAGGCAAGTTGACTGTGAAGTTTTATTTTATGTCTGATCACCGTGAAGGTAGGAAATAAATGGCAGCCTGTCTCCCTATAGTATCCATACATCAAGGGTTTATATCTGGGGGTAGGGAAGGGCACTGTTTACCCTCCGCCAGATATCTATTTGTTTAAGTTTCATCTTTTATTTTACGCAGTACACTGCTGGCAACTCAGTTGTCTTCATTCGCAGTGTCGAGTGCGATCAGTACTCGGTTTCTGGCAGATGATGGACCTTTACCTTAGGATTGAGAAGTAATTGATTAAAGCTCAACGCAGTGTGTTCGTAAATCTCATATTTCGACCTCTTGATCTGGTTAAGATACCATTCTATGTGGTTCAGATTGATTTTAGGTACAAGGAGGGCTCCAGTTTTATTTATGGCCTAGTTCGTCCACCTGCGGAACAGACAACAAGAAAATCATCTTTATAGGAAGACATGAAGAAATAAAAAAAGTGCAGTATAATGATGGACTTAAGAGTATGACCATTCAGATTACCAGTACCAGTGTGAAAATCCCTTAATCATTGTGACTCAATTTAAAACCCACGCAGATAGACGCGGTTGGATGAGCATGCCCCGTAATCTGTTCGGAGGACGCTCTCTCAGTAATAATTCCTTCTCTCTCTGTCACGACCGATGAGACAACGAGGTTCTGTTCCGATTGTAGTTCGTTGGATCTGTGACTAAAGAAGTGCCTTCGAATCCCAATGAGGTTAACGGTTCGGCGTACTTCCCTCAGTATAAACAATCTGACGCGCTTAAAGCTATCACGGTGCGTTAAAAGCCGTGGCTTGAAAGGTTGCCGACTGACTGGATAATTTGGACCGCGCAGTTAGCCCAGTGTGCGGACTGGCGGACTGAGAGTCAGGCTGCAATGGCTCCTTCTTATTGCAGCCTTTATTGCACTCACACTCCGTGGGACTCGAGCCAGGTGCCG